TCATGCCATGTCATGTATGTATATGCATGTATGTATGTATGTATGTATGTATATGTATGTATGTATATGTATGCATGCATGCATGCATGCATGCATGTACGTACGTACGTATGTATGTATGTATGTATGTATGTACGAGATAGGGGCATGTACGAGTTAACGTTTGCGGGCTTTAGGCGTTTTCCGGTTTTCGGCTTCATGGGCTTTTGGGTTTTGGGCAGAGAAAGAGGGGAAGCAGAGGAGGAGGCAGGCGGGTTTGAGGAGTTTAAGTACTCCAAGGACGCAGGCGCTCAGCGGCTTTCAGATATTTCTTTGCATATTCTGATTGGCTGTTCTCATTTTCGCACGCACCGCCTCAAGTCCCCCTACACCTTGTCACCTTAGCCCCCAACCCTTAGAGCGCGAATCATCCCGAAACCCTAAGCCCCCAATGCAAGCGTTCGAACGACGGACCTCTAAGCCCCAAAGCAGGCAAGATGCCCAGGACCCCCAAAAGAGTGTGTATGGACTGGCTACTGCTGCAGCGTGCAGTCTGTTGTTCACGCTGCCTTGACTCTCCGCCACGTGAGCACGGGGCTTGCTGCTCCCTTTAAGAAAACTCCCCAAAACAAACTCTAAACCCTTAAACCCCAAAACCTAAACTCTAGACCCTTAAGCCCTAAAACCTAAACTCTAAACCCTAAACTCTTTGACCCTAAAACCTGAACTCTAATCCCTAAACCCTTGAAACCTAAACGCTAAACCCCAAACTCTTGAACCCTAAAGCCTAAACCCTGCAGCACCCATAAATCGATGCATTGAAAACCGGCCATTTCCCTCAACCCAGACCCCTGATTAATAAACCCCCTCCCCTTAATAGGGAGTATAATAGGGATCCTAATATTTAGGCCCTTCAAAGGAGGGAATTTACAACCCTAAACCCTTAACCTGAGGTGGCCTCTCTTGAGGAGTCTGCGAAGCGCCAGGAGGAGGGTCATGGAATCGTGCGGATGTTGGAAGGTCTCCTGAGTTGTTCAGGTTTTGGGGGGTTGTAGGTTTTAGGGTTTTAGGGTTGTAGGTTTTAGGGTTGTAGGTTTTAGGGTTGTAGGTTTTAGGGTTTAGGTTTAGGGTTTAGGGTTTTAGGGTTGTAGGTTTTAGGGTTTTAGGGTCTAAGTCTAGGCTTGGTGGGCTCCGCAGGGTTTTGCTTGGACAGGGCACAGGGGCGTGCTGAAATCTCATTATGTAAGCTCACTTGAGAAAGGAACCCGAAACCCTCTCTTGAAAAGCGGTTTGCTACTTCTTGCGGTTCCAGGACCAATTATTCATCTATTTTTGTTTGGGTACCCTGACGTTTAGGAGTACTTCCAGAACTAGGGGTCCACGTATATACCCCAAGTATTACAGTCTTTACCGCAGGCACTCCCCCAAAAAGGAACTCTTGTATCTGGACATCGCTATAAAGGTCAGAGCTTCTATAGCACTTGCAGCGATTAATTAGCTGTTTGGGGTGGTTCACTTGCGTTTAGTCAGGAATTTGGGAAGGGGTAATACGGTTATGCGGACTGAAATCGGTACTCACAGACGGACTGCGACAGGGATAGGGATCCACTCTCTCATTTCCTACGGAGATGAATTAAACGGTAGATGTTGGCTGTTTCGTTTCATTCTCATGTTCTTGCTCGTGTCCATGATTCCAGGAGGTTGGTCGAGGGCTCAGGGATTTGAATGTTCTTTGTGACCAGCTCATGAAGGTTGCCTTGCGCACTCCGAAGT